TTGATAGTGTACATGCAGCCATAATATGATTTTTTTAAGTGACAAAAATATATATAGCCTTGGTGGTGTTGGCTCTATTGGTGATGGATGGGAGCGTAGGCGAGGACTGCAAGAAATAGTAATTTTACCATTACCACTTCTAGTCTTCTCCTGCTTCAATCTACTATATGCTTATCCCTATTATATTGAAAAATACAATTTTGGAACCATGAATTAGCCAAAACAGTGATTGGTCTTAAAAGCATGAAAATTCGCTATTTAGATGTAGCTAACTTCTAACATCAGAAAACATTTGAATCAGGGAATAAAAAGTAAGACATCATCTCACAATAATTAATAACATATTTATTTTCATTGTGTTCTTTAATGAAATGAAGCCTTTATATGAAACATGTTTTATGAACAGGCAACATTTATCCCTTTATAATGGCCTGTTTCAGTGGAAATCTTATCATTTTTGTAGATGTTGACTTCATTAGTCCTAAACTATCTGTAGGATTTCAATACTTGTTTTCTAGTCCATATTAAGATTTGCTCCCCAAGTATACATGATTTTTTTTGTCGTGTCAGGAGCGACCTGAGAAACTGCAAGTCGCTTCCGGTGTGAGAGAATTGGCCATCTGCAAGGACGTTGCCCAGGGGATGCCTGGATGATTTGCTTCTCTAATGTCCCCACACGAGGAGCTGGAGCTGATAGAGGGAGCTCATCTGCCTCTCCCCGGATTCGAACCTGCAACCTGTCGGTCTTCAGTCCTGCCGGCACAGGGGTTTTACCCACTGCGCCACTGGGGGCTCCTAGTATACATTATTAAAATGTGCCGTTTCTTTAGATAAGAAATACCTGTGGACACTTTCAGAATAGGTTGAAATAAATCCTGACATTAGTGCCAATTTCTTTGTACAATGCTTCTAAAGTAGGAGAAGGCATTGTGAAAAGCTCATCTCAGTTGCTCTCAGAATAGAGAGGTAGGCTGCTTCACATTTAAGATTTGTATGTATTTGATTACCTAATGAAGTTAAATCACTTCTCTTATTTCTGTTTCAGCAGTTTTGGATCACTGAAATAAATCCTGATGGCCTACAACTGGCTGGTGATGTGCTGCAAGACACTTGATAGACTGACAGAAAGAGATTGGGAAAACTCCTTGTCAAGGGTCACTTTGTATTCCAAACTGGCTAATAGAAATATGGAGCTAACTAGTACAAAACTTCACCAGCCTACTCATTTTGTTGAATGTGTTTCTGTTTCTGTTGCCATGAGAGTTTTCTTGGCAAGATTTGTTCAGAGTGGGCTTGCCATTGAGAGAATATAACTTGCCTTACGGACCTCATCACAGGAGCTGTGGGAAATGGAGGATTGGCTTGCTAGCAAAGAAAATCATAGCTTTCGATCCCAAATTGTCTAGTTTCATTTATAGGCTACCCATCACACATGCATGTTCCCCAGCCTTTCCCCCATTGTTGCCCTCTTCGGAAACATCACACGGGCAAGCCTTGTCCCTGCCCATTCTGTGTTCTTTTTTTTCTAAGGGGAAGATTTTGAAACTTTGGAAGTGGTACTTCAGCAGGGGAATTTTATTTAAAAACAAAACAAAACTTCAAAGCACCTGTGCAAAAAGAGCCCTACTCATTTCAATGAGTACATGTAAGAAGGAATATAATATCGAATATTTACAGCTAGACTTTGAATTGACAGTAGTGGGTACATAAAATATTTAAGTATATTTTACATTATTTTGGAAGCAAAACCTAGTGCAAATTTGACAGATTCCCATTCCATCTGTTTTTGAGTGACTTCTCTCATTCTCGAGCACCTTGGGGGCTCAGAACATGATTTCTCACCATCTTCTCTTTTTTCTCACCACAGTTCTGACCAATTTTGAAAATGAAAGGTGACGGATAACACCTGGAAGTCAACAAATGTCATCTAATGGGCTCCATGGCACTTCATCCTTGCAATGGATTAGAAGTGTGTAGAAATGGGCAGGTCAGGACATCTGATAAGGTTCAAGGTTACCTGACTGAATGGAACCCTCAAAACATTACATTGCACTGGCTCTCCATGCTTTTCATAAAAGACATAAAAGACAACAATGATATGAAAAAGTGGGAGTCACAGTGCACTGTGAAGAACTCCCATATGGTGAGTATTACATAAAACCTGAATTTCAGAGAAAGCATTCTAGTTTATGGAAAGGGCAGCTACTTTACCACATCTGCCCTAGATACACAACATCAATCTGAGAACATTAACATGTTCATGTGGATGCCTTCCCAAACTGTACAAATTACTCAAGTGAATATCTGGGATTGCACTCTATTAACAATCACTGAGAAAATTGCATGTAGCCGAAGGGCCCTTCCACAGTACATAACAGTAGTACTATATTCTGCTCAATTCCCATGGCAGCCTCAAATGGAATCCTGGAATTTGCAATTTACGGAGAAAGCCATTGGGTTTTACCAAACATACAAACCAAAGCATAATTCCATAACAGTTAAAGTGGAATAACAGCACCTAAATGTATAGAGAAGGTGCTTTAAGGACGTCATCACATTTGCCACCAGAATCACCATGGATAATGGCAAATTCAGCAGTGCCTAGCAGAAGGAACCCACCGCCCCATGCCCTGCTTCCCCTTCCCTTCTGAAGCCCAGCTCCCCCCGCCCATTGATCCTAATTCACTCTTGAAAGAGTAATTATGGGGAATAGGTGTCTCCAGTGAAGCTTTATCATCGATCCTTGTTTCCACAACAAGCCAAATTTTTCAAAATCCAATTTTCACAGAGACAGAAACTGAGGTGAAATCTTCTGAACTGAGACACAGACAGCAAGACAAACATCACAGGGATGTTTACTTTTTCCTATGCTATCCAAAGCTTAAATAGATAGATAGATAGATAGATAGATAGATAGATAGATAGACAGACAGACAGATAGACAGACAGACAGACAGACAGATCGATAGATCTGGAGTTACATTTTAAAATTTACCTATTCTGACTTACAAACAAATTCAACTTAAGAACAAACCTACAGAACCTATGTTGTTCATAACTTGGAGATTGCCTGTACTGTCTTTTCAGTAATGGAGAATGAGTAGACCTTCTTGCTCAACCATGTCTAAGAGCAGTCAAGATGATGGGTACAAGGGAGAGTACATTTTCTACAGATGTTCAGCGTCTCAGAAATGTACTACCAAGTGAGATCTTTTACATCCCAGTCTTGTTCACTTTCCATTATTGTCCCAAGTTATGTTTTTCACTTTAAGTTTTCCTTTGATTTTGTATTATTTGAGTGCAACGTCTGTTTCACTATTGTTCTTGGTTTATATGAATTCTGGTGTACATGAATCGTATGCTTTTATTATTTTGTAAGCTGCTATAAGAAGGTTGTATAACCTAAAAGGTAGCCTAAAATATTTTAAATGAAAGAAGAAATAAATTGGTTACATTTCAAGTGACCATTAACAGAACAGTTTCTGTACATGATTTGGGCCTTGGCAGTCATCCCAGATGTTATCTTGATGATAATAACATTACCTTTGATTGTCCCAATTATTTTTGAGCCCCCCCCCCCTCCGCTAAAGCTTTGTGTTTACATTAAGTGCAGGCTGTAAATAGTTATTTTCTCTGCACAAGCATTTCAAGGAAATATCAATGTTCCCTTTTTGGAGATACAAACCACTGGAATAATACTTCCATTAACATGGCTTGTCCATGCTTCATGAACTAAACCACAAGTGCTGCGAGTTCCATTCTCTCTGGGTTAATTGTGAGAAATGAGAATGTTCTCCACTGAAAATAATCATGCCTTTTGCTTGCATGGAAATGAAGTGGCCAATGAACAAACATCAGTTAAAAACAATTAGATCCTGTGTGTATATATGCAATGCTGGCTAATGCGGCAAGACATGCAAAATGACCCCAGAGACTTTGCAAGCAAGGGGAAGTGATGTAACGGTTTCCACACTAATCTAGTTCTTCTCTGTAGCTGAGCACAGTTTGTGATTAATTTGTCACATTCAACTGCAAATTAAGATCTGACATTTTTGAAAGCTGTTTGTAATCAGAGCTGCCCTCTCTGAAAGAGTGCTTCTCTTTGTTTACAGCTAATCATACACAAACACAGAAAATGAGAGTGCTATCGTCAGTTATCTCTCTAGATTATGCCACGCATTTTAGAAGGACTGCCAGACAATGTGTTACATCTCTGCTGTTTAGCTGGGAGAAACCGTGTCTGATTAAACATCCCAATAAAACATAGCTTCTATTGATAATACTGCAAAATTTCTTTTAATCTATCAATCAGCTCAGAATGAGACTGATTTGGCTAACAGATTTTTTTCAGAATTCAACCCAGATGCACTAAATAGATTGTTAATTATTTAATACGTGACAACTCTTCAGGACAATGTATTTTTCAAAGTCCCATGTATCTTTATGGGTCCTAGGCCAAATCAAACCTGAACTCTACCTAGAAGCCAAGATGACTAAACAGAGACTGTTGTATTTTGGCCATATCATGAGAAGATACGACTCACCAAAATGACAATAATACTTAGATTAAACTCAGGAGGAATGAAGGCTGAACTCAATCAAGAAAGCCACAGCCCTGAATCTGCAAGGCCTGAGAAGGACAATTGATAGGGTGATTTGGAGGCCTTTCATTCATAGGGTTGCCACAAGCCCAAATTAACGTGAAGGCAGTTAAAGGTAACAAACATCCATATTTGATGTATGTATCAATATAGATGTTTACAGTGTGCATATAAGAATGTGAACATGCATATATCTTTGCAACTAATCTGAGTGAAGTTTCCATGAGAGGACTCCAGACCTGAGGAATTAAACTGGAGGAAAGGGAGGATGTGATCTTAGCCACTTCCTCATTCTAGATGCAACTGCCTGTATTGCTCCCTAGAACTGAAAAGGGTGAACACAGAAATATTATATGAAATGGTACAAAAAGAAGAAATTATTAGTAAATATCACTTTCACCTTCTTCCCAGAAGAAGATTGTTTTTTATTTCATTTTTTGCGAACAGGATCCCTTCTTTTCAAGGAAGGAACACTCTGAACTAAACTCGATCATATGTATATATCCAGTACAGATTGTTATGTGCCTTCAAGTAACTTCTGACTTATGATGACTCTATAAGATTCTTATCATAGAGTTTTCTTAGCAGAATTTGTTTAGAAGGGTTTTGCATTTGCTTTCATCTGTGAATATTAGAACTTGGTTTCCAGGAGTCCTAGTCAAATACTCAGACCACAATACCACACTGGCTCTTTCCATTACTGACATTTGTATCCATATAGATAAAATAAAACGTATTTCAAAGCTCTGTAATAACTTGACCACTTTCAATTGCTTTCCCATTTTGCATGTTATTGTTTGCATTCCCCAACAATCATTTAATGGTAATATGACTTCATCATATTACATAAACTACTATTTAACATATTCATAAGAGCCATCCAAACATAAAAATGCTGGGGGCAGGGGAATCACCCCCAACAAACAGAAGCTATCTTCACTTACAAGAAAAGTGAAAAAAATGTGGTGGTGTGGTGTTCCTCACAAGTTCTGGTGTAGTTGTGAAGGAGGAAATGTGTTGCCCTTATGAAGAGAATTGTTTCTTATGTTTTGTTTTTGAAAAGCTACTTTTCAAGCAAAATAAAATCAACGCCCAGTAAAGCTCTTTATATACATATTTATGGATGACACCAGAGTCGTCTTATACATCAGTGTACATCACTTGATTACTCAACACTTGATGACTCAATTGCAAAGCATTGTAGTTGAGGTGATGCTGTGGTATTTGGTGAGTGTTTTGCATTCAGCTCAAGAGTTGATGCTGCATTCAACAAGGAATTAATCAGCATGAATAAGCAGTCTATACACTTCTGTGAATTGTTGGTTGTATCGAAGAGTTGCTGGTTTATCTTCTCAATAAGAAATTCTGCTTTCTCTGAAGAACAAAATAAGGAGGGCGCCTGTTTCTAGCTGTTACTGAAAATTCAACAAACATCGGAAGCCACATACGGTATTACCAGCTGTGCAGAGCTAGAGATGTATGACATGGTTTTACATGATATCCTAAAGATTAGACCTTCTATAATGTATACTATAACTGTCCTTGAAGCTCATACTGAAATTACAACTGGTTGAAAATATGGTTTCTAATTTATTAATGATGGTGGGGAAAAAGGCACATTATATATATGCAGAAAGAAATGCAGTAACTCCCAGTTTGTTTCAGACATAATTTTAAGTTCTGGTACTACCATCTGAAGACTAGATTGTATTTCCTGGAATACCTTGTTCTGCATAGACTTCTACAAAATGGTCACACTTAGCCATGGATTAAGTGCTTCCATTACTTGAGATCAAGTTGGCTGGCACAATTATGCTGCCACTTTTTATGTAATCATTCCCATATCATACCTGTTTGGTTGGTTTGCTACAAGAAATAACTGAAGACTTTTCCCCTCCAGAAAGTGTTATTTCATGTGTGTGTGTGTAATGACTCCAATTGATTGTTTGATTATACTTTTTATATTAGTTATGTGTTTGTGTTATTATGTGTATATTTTATTGATTTTGTTGGCACCCACAGTGGCCCAATGGGTTAAACCCTTGTGTCAACAGAACTGCTGGCTGACAAGTTGGTGGTTCGAATCCGGGGAGAGGGGTGAGCTCCCGTCTCAGGGACATGAGAGAAGCCTCCCACAAGGTGGTAAAAACATCAAAAACATCTGGGAGTCCCCTGGGCAATGTCCTTGAAGATAGCCAATTCTCTCACACCAGAAGTGACTTACAGTTTCCGAAGTCGCTCCTGACATAAAAAAAAAGATTTTATTAATTATCCTAAGGTATTTTTACAAGCAGGTGGCAACATAAAAGTGAATCCTACTGGTTGAGTAGACTTATCAAATCAATGTTAAATTTTGGATCAATAAGTAGTAAATGTATTTGATTCAATGGATCTATGATGGTTCAGATTAGCAATAGAATTTAGATCAGTATGTTCCATTTGTGAATTTGCTTGTTTTTATTGATATATCTGAAGACAATGTGTTGATAAAAGGATACACTAAACAAGTATGTTGGCCATGCAATAAAGACAGAATTGACAGTATGCTAAAAAGTTAAGCACATCTCATCATATTTCTGGGGTCATATGCCCAAGTATCTGTTCATTTTGCTTAAAGCATCACACACTGTGTTCAAGTCACTGCGAAGATCCTGGACAACATTTTCGATACTTCTAGTATCTTTCAGAATTTCTATGCTCTGGGTATATGGATTGAAATATACAGAAAAGGGGCGGTTGATCGATTTTGCAAAGTCCCTGAAAGGAAAAGGGGGAAAAAAAGGAAATTAACTTATTACTTTTGCATCCCCAAATAATAAAAAATGAGATTTGAAGTTGTTGTTTTTAAGGGTCAGAGGAAAGAACTTGCCTCATCTTCTCTTTGGCTTCTTCAAAACTTTCTGAGACGAAGTAAGCTTCCTGAAAAGTTGTGATAAGGCATTCTTGCATGCAGGTTGTCTTTGGATCAAACGTTTTCACATTCGCTTTATCAGACAGAGCATGCTGCAAAATATACCACATTAACTGTTAAATATATTATGGAAGTCTCAAGTGTTTTCACGCACCCAGCTTTTCTAGCACAGTATGATCTCACACTGTTGTTAGTCTCACATATTTTATCCAAAGTGCTCTTTCATTACAAATAGGATGAATCAATTGTTATCCAAAAACCTATTTGCCTCTTTAAGATCTTTGCCAGCCCCAATGATTACATTATTAAAAACCAACCAGACATATTTCTGCTTATATGCAGTAGAGGCTTAACTCCTCAGACTTGAAGATGAAGTTTATCAATACATATTCCAACAGCAATTACTACTGTAGCTAAAATTTCCAGTTTGGAAGCGTCCTAGGACAGAGTCCTGAAAATAGTGAGGCTTCCTGTGTTTTCATTGATGAGAACAGGATGAGCACAGGGGGAACTGGGCAGCAATGCTTTCCCATGTGTGATGGGGAAAGTGGCGATGCGAGCAATGCATAGGGCAATGGTCCCCCTCCACCCATCTTCCTGATTTGCCATGCTGCCTGGCAAATCCCCTCGTTGTCACTCATGTTTTGGACCTCAATGTGATGAAGGCCTAAGTTAGGTGTGTGTTCCAAGAGGCAACACCCCCCTGCTATGTCAGCTCCATTGGCTGCCGATCCAATTCCGAGCACAATTCAAAGTGCTGGTCTTGACCTATAAAACCCTATATGGCTCCGGTCCAGTGTACCTGTCTGAATGTATCTCCTTCTACATCCCGCCTAAGAATTTAAGATCTTCTGGAGGGGCCCTGCTCTCAGCTCCACCCTTGTCATAAACAAGACTGGCAGGGACGAGGGATAGGGCCTTCTCAGTGGTGGCCCCCCGCCTGTGGAACTCACTCCCCGGGGAAATTAGTTCGTCGTCATCTCTCCTCTCTTTTAGAAGGAAAGTAAAATCATGAACATGGGACCAGGCCTTTGGGTAATCTGGCAGATTGACAAGGAAAATGACGACAATGAGCTTTGGAAACGGACTATGAGAAGCTGAATGGCTCACCAATTACGGAACTGGGTGAAATGATGGCCATCAAGCTGGCTTTTTCTACGAGATTTTATTGTAATAATTTAATGTTTTAACTATTTATAATTACTGTGATATGTATTGTATTGTGTTTAAATGTAGGCATTGAATATGTGCCGGCTGGAAGCCGCCCTGAGTCCCCTCTAGGGGGTTGAGAAGGGCGGGGTAGAAATGCTTGAAATAAATAAATAAAATAAATATTACTGTGGAGAGTGAGGACAGTCACAGCCTTTACTTTAAGTTCAAGCACTGGAACTGATGTACTTATCTCAAAGTTACATTTTGCTACTAACCCCTTTCCTCAACACATTACTATCTATTAAACTTGATTGAATCTGTGCTCCAGAGATGATCCTGGAGCACAGAATGAACAGTGATCTTTGAAATTACTTCCTCCAACATTATTTACAGTTTTAAAAGTCAGAAACACTATTTTGAACGGAGCTTGGAAATATATACAAACAATTCAGTTAATACTGAATACAATTAAGTACCGGTAATTTGTTTTTGTGTCATTTATGCATTGGCCACTTTGTATACATTGGTTGCTTTTCTATACAGATTATTTTGCTGTTTTTAAGAATGTTGGTGCTTCTTTGTATTTGCACTTGCTTCTGTCTTGTCGTATTTATTGTTTTAATTTGTATCATAAACTGCTCCGGGATTATATATATTATGAAACACAGTAAATACATGTATCAAAAATAAATAAATAAACCAATCTTGAAGGTACTAGGTAGCTGGTCTAAATTTCCTAGAAAGCACAGTCATATTTCCTTTTTAACTGCTTGCTAAAACGATTAATACAGAATGTTGGATGAGCGAAGGCTGGATAAGCAAGACTCTACTGTACATGTTAGGAACTGACCTGGCTTTTTCAGAATTGTGAACATCCAGCTAAATTTGAAAAATCAGGGGGAAGGATCCCAAATATATCCTATTAAATTCCATTTATCTTGATTAATTTTCAGTGCATCCAACTAATTTTTGTTGGACTTTAGTTCATATAGATGAACATCAGATTGGTACAGATCAGTCTTAACAAATTTGATTTGAGAATTAAAGTAATGCAATCCTACGGATATTGGTGTGGAAGCAAATTACTCTAGGCTCACAAGAAGTAAATGAATCAAGGACTGAACCCTGAGAGAATGTGTTCAGATTTGTATCAGCACACATAAGTCTTTCATATTTAATAACTGTATATGAATCATATCATGAAAACTCTGTGATCACTCTACTTTAGGGTCACCATAAGTCAGAAATAACTTGAAGGCAAACAACAGCAAAAAAAAATTCTGTTAATAGCTCAAATTCCAAGACTTGTTGCACTGACTATAATAACGATTCTAATGGTTATGTGCAGTTGCTGTCATTTAAAAAAGGCAAAATTCATGTATAGCTTAGAACTATTGTTTCAAATCAATACTATATTGTTGTTAAAAACTAGCATTTTTCCTCACTCCAACAGGCATCTGAATCCAATTGTGTCATTCTTTTATTTCACATCTGTCCTCTGACAGAAAAGTATCCCTAAATTTATATGGAATTCTGTGTGTATATATGTCTACACATTTATATACTGCCCTTCAGTGGAACAGTTCCCAAAGTAGTTTTTGGAAAGGTAAAATAACAATAACATCTCCATAAAAATCACATATGAAATATGACCCCTTCTGCACAAAACAGAGCTCTTACCCATAAATAATACAGGATTATGTATATTTCTTGCCTATAGTCATACCTTGAGCTCTCCGATGGAAGACAGAAGACCTGCTCCATAAGCTCGTAATTGTCCTTCTTGCTTGCAAAGACCAAATTCAATGGTGAAAAAATAGCACTGTAAAAAGAAGGCGGGGGGAGAGAGAGAGATATAAATCTTATGTGTTTACAAAGGTCCAAAACAACCATGCCTTGGTCATGCACTTTGGCGTGTGAAATAAGTAGACTCAATCAAATAAATCTACAGTGCTTTAAATGTAATTTTCTTTTTAAAAAACAGTTAAAACAATAAAACTGTATTTTTTCAGTTAATGCATATATTTATATAGGAAAAGGAACCTCAAGAATCCCATGATTCAAAAAGGAAAGGATGCATAGTTAAAACAAACACATACACACACATCTATATACTCACAGTCAACCAACAGAGATGCTATTGACAGCAGCTAAAGCAGGGACCTCCTAATACCATATTTCAGTCAGTTAAAAATAGCATTGAGATCATACATAAAGTATAATGGGGGGGGGGGGTAACATTATTAGGAACAATCAAATATATGTGAGCTGCAGAATTAGAGAAGCCAAAGTCAATAAATTCCTAAGTCAATATTGTCTGCACCCAGGCCCATAGCGAATCATTAAAAGTAGATCCATAACACAAAATAATTTAAATTCGATGACTCATTCTATATTTTATCTAGACTTAATTAAATAAATTTTCCATATCAGATACAAAGTTTGTTTCAAGTCTTAAAAAAACCAAAAATGACTCTTAATTGGTAATTTAGTGGTTACAAAATAATATCACAACGCCTCCTAGAAACACTTGAAAACTGTGTCAATACACTTTGACAGAAATCAGGCTCCACCAGTAAACTTTGGTGGACACTTAAGAGTGCAAGTCCAATCAATCTTTCTTGCACCATTGTGCCTCTTATGTAAGTTCCCAAATGTTTAAGATTTCAAAACAACCTTTCATGTATAGCTGTTGTCATTGGCAATGTTTCAGAAATCTTAAGAAGTTTCTTCAAATTCAGAAAAAAATGTCTCTCACAGACAAGATATACTTCCAGTGCATTTGATGGTTTGTCTGCAGGTGTAATCCTGCAGGTGTAATCCAGCTAAAGCCTGCAGCTTCATAATAATATCTAAGGTCAAACTCTTCCATCAGTGTGTCTGTATCTTGAAGACATTCATTATAAAGTTATGTGTGCTTGTTCAAGTTGGATTTTAAATGCCCACAATTAATAGGAAGGAACACTTGTAGTTCCTCCTGAACTACTTCCCTGTGCCTTGTAAACCTTTTCTGAAGCAAAAAAAAAAGTCCAGAAATGGGACATACACATTTAGATGTAATATCCCATTGAGGTTGGTGAAGTTTCCTAGTGTTGCTTTTACAAGTCTTCCTTGAACAGATGCAAGGAATCCTAACTTCTCCACCCATAGACTCCACTATTGATCTTGCTATGTCAAAGATAGCCTAAAAGTCTTTCAAAAGTCCTGTGTGCATCTCCCTGGCTTTTTCTAAGAAACTGTCAACATATTGCAGGTTGCAGAAAAAATTCATATCTATTATTTGTCATGTTTTGCTAAGCTGAAGGGATGATAACAGAAGCTTTCTTAGGATGTGTATGGTTACTACAAATTCAGTATTCAGAACAGCTAAAAGAGAGTATCCATCTTGGGAAGACGTCTCACTGTTGTGTAAAGGACTCTCTTTCAGTTCTTCAAGTTTTCTCACCACCATGCTGTACAGTTCAACAAACGTAAAACTGCAATATGTCACTCTATCCAGTAGGTTTCACAAAGTGGCAACAGGCTGTTTGCTCTTGATTCAGAGAAACAGTCTTTTAAAGTTTACTTCGACAGTTTTATATTTTTAACTCCTTTCAGGTGTTTTTTTTTAAATAATATTACAGAAACTATTAAAATAATTGCATGAGATAAAAACAAATGAATGTATAAATTGGAATATCTAAAAATTAAAATCTATGACCCACACATTTTATTACATTTTTTAAAAACTACATTAAAATACCTTTAATCTGGTACCTAGTTATTCAAAGAATACTTGATAGCTTAGGAGGAATGAAAGTATAAACTTTTAAAGCAAGCACAAATTACTATAGTTGTTATATACATGGAAACATTATAAATTGTATTTAAACATAAGTTTTCCTTATGGAGTTTAACCTGCGGAGTCTGATTCTGATGTCAGTTTCAGTGGATTGCATCATCTTCATGTCAAAAATGTTGATTAGATGTGTGATGTCAAAACTTGGTTGCTTCCACTATGCTGGCCACTGCTGTTTTTCAATGTAAATTGGTAGAAAGCTAGGTAATGATCATGTGAATCAATTATCAAAATTTGATTGAGATAGTGCTTGCGGTGCTGGAGGAATTTATGCTTCTGATAGACTTAGCATGGGGATTTGGTTAACCAGTTAAAATTCAAGAGCATACCGGGCTTTTTCAAATCTAAAATTTGGGGGAGGAGGTGAATCCATAATCCCTCCCCACACCCCCACCCTCACCCACGCCCTTGGCTATGTGTTTGTGTGCACCACAATATTTCCAGTTTCTATTTGGGGCTGTAAAAACTGGACATTGAAGAAAATGGTGAGGAATAGAACTTTCACCCACAATCTAGAACATCATTTCAGAAGCATCAGCCTGTTTAGACTGTTAATTTGCTTCAAGGCATTTTTACATCTTGAGGAATTGCTGCAGCTATGGAAATAAGCATTTATGTCCATTGTCTATTTGCATTTGAGCCCTGGATACTGGAGAATTCATGAGAAAAATACTGGAATGTCTTCTAGAGTGCAGTACTGAAAAATCCACATATTTGAATTTGCTTTTTGTTTCAGGGCAATAGAGTAATTCTCTAATTCAGTGACTTGAATATGGATTGGTTCATTAAACGAATCATAAAAAGAGAACTCAGCAAACTTGTAAAGAAAACACGACAATATACTGTGATTGCTACCATTAGGTATTTCTGAAGCTGCTTTCATTGCACCTGATTTTAAACATCTTCTGTGACTTCTCTGTTATTTAATGTTGTCAGAGATCCAAGACAATACTTGAGATGAAAAAAAGCTTACAGTAGCCAAGCTGAATTTTGGACTTTTTGTCTTTGAATAGCTGACCTTTGTGACTTATTTGAAATGGCTTTTGATGCTCTCCTCTATTTCAAAAACAATTTGCCATGTGGCCATGACAGCTGCTGCTGGAAGAAAAGAAGGATAAACACCAGTTTCATCACTCCCAGTGGATCCTGGTCTTTTTCTGCCATGGATGGTTTCTGAGGTTATATGATTGTTTGTCTTACTCTGGACATGATAATCCAATGGATTGTGTTCCTGGTTTACTGTGGATTATTAGTATAAAATGCTTAGTGCTTTCACATTAAGTAGACTATATAAACACAGTCAGGGAAACGAATTAACACAGAAGTGCTATGTGGCTGCATAGCCATTGCATTAATTCCTATTCTCTCTGTGGTTGGGAGCAGACAGGGGATACAGTCAAGTACTTAGTGATGTTGTTATGTCTTTAATGTCTGTGTCTGCTCTGGAACCTGCATTTTTCACTCAAGACAATGGGCAGATTCCTGAGTTAAAGCTAGTCTTCTGCCTTCAGAAATGGAGTCCAGTCATCAATTCTACCACCTGCTATGCATGTCTAGGCATTAACATTTCAGCTCCATACTGGCCAGGGTTTAATTCTGTCTATTATCTCCATTTTGAATATGAGTTTAGTTTCTGATTTCATAAACCACATTTGTTCCAATGTTTGAAATGTTCTGTTTATTTCCCCATTACATATTTTTTCTTCTAATACCTAGCCCAATGTTTTCATGAACTAAAACTCATACCCTTTTCTGGCATTTTGTTTGGTGCTAACAAGGGTATTGATCAAATTTGAATATTGTTTTGCTCAAACAAAAACCTTCTCCACCTTCCCCTAGGCTAGCTGAGTCAAATTAGGGCAAAAGCCATGACTAAGTTCAGCAACGTAGGCTAGGTTGGCTGAGATATATAGAAAGATGGTACCTTAACCAAGGTAATTTGTGTACCAACACCATTCCTTCAGACTCCCTTCTGCTGCCTATCCATAGAAAAGAGAGTGAAAGAGGGGGGCAAAAAATGAAAAGGGGTGAAGGAAAGAGGGAAAGGTATAAGAGGATAGTCAGAGAAAGAATGGTGAAAGGGGGAGTGGGGGAAGCAGCCCTTCCAATACCCAGGCAACACTGGGAATATTCACTAGTTATATGTAATGAGACCTGAGCATCTATGGGTCTTGAAATCCACAGGACACAGAATCATACAGTTAGAAGAGATCCAGTCCAACCCCTGGCCAAGAAGCAGGAAAATTACATTCAAAGCACATCCTGGAATCAAGTTCGAGCAGAGATGAATGGCCCACTGTAAATGTGTAAAATCACCTATAATGGAAAACTGCTGGGATTAGTGCACTTAACTGGATTCATTCCATCATAATATGGGAAGATACATGCAAAAAGTAAACTTCAATATTAAACCACCACGGGCTGTATGCTTTGAGTATATATAGAAAAGGTAAAGGTAGTCCCCTGACATTAAGTCCAGTCATGTCTGACTCTGAGGTGTGGTGCTCATCTCCATTTCTAAGCCGAAGAGCCAGCGTTGTCCGTAGACACCTCCAAGGTCACGTGGCCGGCATGACTGCATGGAGCGCCGTTACCTTCCCGCCGGAGCGGTACCTATTGATCTACTCACATTTGCATGTTTTCGAACTGCTAGGTTGGCAGAAGCTAGGGCTGACAGCGGAAGCTCACGCCGCTCCCCGGGATCGAACCTGCGACCTTTCAATCAACAAGCTCAGCAGCTCAGTGCTTTAACCCACTGCGCCACCGGGGGCTCCCTTGAGTATATATAGATAAATGAAAACATAAAATGCCGGATGGATTCCAGGTAATTTGTATCTGCCAAGTTCTAACGTTTATAAATATAATATTGTTAGGAAAGCCCTACAAACAAAGAAGGAAGAGAAAGAGGATTATCACAATACATTTGCAACATATGGTGGCTATGGCTACTAGATACTGCCTAGCTCCAAATGTTTTTGTTGGGG